AGACCACATGCAAAAATTCAAGCCCTTTTGCGAAAATTTTTTTTTTCACCCAAATCGTCACTTAGCATGGTTTTGCACTCACCCCTTCAATTATTATTATAACCAAAATGGTTACCTCGCAGGACTCTAGGTTAAGAAGCCTGGATTTCAGCCTGGCCAGGGTTACTGCGTTGTTTTCTTGGGCATGATGCAAGATTTGCTCTCACAGTTCCTCTCCAAACAGGATTTATAAATTAATGGGTATTGATCAGTGAACTGATAAATTATCCAGTGAGTGGCAAAATGTTGGGTAGGGGGACAATCTGCAGTTTTCTATAATCTTATCCAGGCAGGACTAGTATTACTACTTGATGCTTCACACTTCAGAAACCAGAGTTAACAAAAACCCCTTTGGCTCTTTCGTTTGCAAGGATTGCAACAAACTGTAACCCACCTCTGAACAGAATTCATTCATTCATCTGAATTTCATTACAAATAGCCACTGCTGTCACTATAAAGGTAATCCATGTTATTGTACAGTGTATATCCTTTTTTAATGTTTCAGATACTAAAGCACAAAATTTATCGACACCTCAATTAGCTAATAACATTTATTTTGTCATTACAAACCTGGTTCAGGTTTATTTTGTCCACTGACATCCTCATCTTCATCACTGGAGAGCAAGAACATTTCATCACAGTCTCGTTTTTTTGATTTAGCTGGCTTGTTCTGTGGTTTTACTGGTACAAACATAGTCCACTGTCCCTCCATTAGTAGCATTATTAATTGTATCAGAAAAATTCAAGCTCTTCTTTGACGGTGGAGCAAACTCTGTATAATAGATGAAAAATTATCAGGTTAAGTGCAGGACCTCTAGACATAACATCTCTCCACTTACTCACGTCTTTTCACAGCTTAAGCAACAACATTTCATGACCTATGACATAACCACAGTAAAAGGGTTTCCATTTTTAATAGAAGTAAGCCTCAGTTTTTTTAGCCCAAAGGTGAATTTTTGTGTGCTCGTCGGCCCAAAAGTCTCAAAAGTCAAATAACATACTGGGTTCTTGTTTTTGAAAGTATTTGAACGCTTAATGAATAACAAAAATTTGCACTTTTCATTTCTATTACTATTCCCGCCTTCTTAGAACTCCTGCTTCTCGCCCTTTCCGCTCCCACCTTTTGCTAAAATCCAGGTAAACCTCTGTTTTCGGCAAAACATGCAAGTTTGCTAGTGATAACATACTTGGGCACCACTGCGCAAAATGAAAACTATCATATTATTAAAAAGAATTGGATAAGTAAGTCATCAAAATACTTTCAGAGTTCCTGGAACTATTTTTCATTCACCCAAATGAAAAAATTTGCTCTTGCCAGCTTTTCAAATTCAACACTGTGCCTGTGTCAAAACTGAAGTGGGAAGGCGACTTGTTGTTAATTCTGCGTGTTATAAATTTCTCGCACTTCACAATGATTTTGTGGAGCTAGACAAGATGCAGGTGAACATTCAAGGAGTCAAACGTGATCTTCAATGAATTGAACAATATGATTCAAGGCTGTATAATAACGAAGTTAATTATTACAAACTGTACAACTTCATAAAAGCAGAATGAAGAAGTTTAAAGTTGTGGAATTATTACAATATAATGGTGCAAACATTAAAGTGATCAGCACTAAGAGGACTACGGTCAAGATGGGTTTATTACAGTAAAACACGCCTGTAGTTTGACTTCCATTTTTGGGTTCATGAATTATTAACGGCTTGAAAACTTGGGCAAGCTGGGAAGTGCCCCAGGCAAGCAAAATTTGAGAGTTACTTGCCAAATGGGCAAGATGGAATTGAAATATTTTTCAAGCCCTTTACTACCCATCAAAACATCTAATAAGATATATATATTATTTGATACTGTAAGTATCTGGGGATCTGGGGATCTGGGGAAGTGTGACCTTCTTTTTTGCTCTGCCCATCTCTCCCAACTAAGCATGAAAACACCAACCTTTACTCTTGGCACCACCCCCCTCCACCACCCCTGTTTTGAGTATAGGTCAATTTTCACTCCAGTAACCCATCAGCTGATTCATGTAGTTGGTGTTGATTGACATTTTGCAATGTTACTGTTAAGTATGCAGCTCTAAATTTATAATTCGAGTACAGATTTTGGAAGAAGTAACCTCACGTGCTTTAAACGACGAAATGACTACATCAGTTCGAAATACGATTCCAAGTAACTTGACCTAGCTCGTGAATGGAAAGAAATCTCTATCTGACGAACATACGAAAAACAGGCCCGAACAACATGGCATTTAGAGTTCTCTGATTCAGTTAGCATCACAGCAAACACTTACCCTCAAAATCGTCGAGCATTTCCAATTCATCTGCATACCGAGATTCAAAATCATCTTCAACGGGAATATCCCAGTCTTCCATTTTTAGGGATGTCGCCCAAAATTGTCTTCGATTGTGTTTTTCTTTTCGAACACTTAACTCCGCCATATTGCTCTGAAAATTCCCGCCAAAGTAATGCCTTCCAGGTGACCACATGTCAGCGGACGTCACTGCTTGCAAACGAGGCTGGGGAATACCCTGGGTTATTAGCTTGCACTTTTACTCGGGTTCAAGAGAAAGTTGTGGAAGGTTTAATCAGTCGTTTTGCACTTAGTGTGACCTTTGCGTTCAGCTATTTCAAGCACAAACCATCGTTAAACTTCGTTCTAGCTGTAGGAGAAGTTTCAGCGATCCTCGTAATTTAAGTGGAGATGAAAATTTGAGTAAGTTACCCAAAGCGGAAGTAACGTCTTCGTCTGTCTCTCCCCCGTTCTGTCGTACAAGTTCGCTGACAGCAATCATCGATGGCAGATGGCTTTGAATTTAAAGGTTTTATGCTACAAGTTAGCCAGCGTATGTCATCTAGTGACTTTGAACAACTTAAGTATCTCTTGAAAGGATATGTTTCAAACGCCAAATACGGGGAAATAAAAGCAGTTTGCGAGTACTTCGAGGAACTCCAAAGGATATGCTTGCTGTCCCCGACAAATTTTGGTGTGTTAAAGAAAGCTCTTGGTTTAATAGGACGTCAAGATCTTGTTGAAGAGATAGAACAAAAAGAGCAATACTTTGCCGATTTGTTCAGAGGCAAGAAGGGAGATAGCTTGGAACCAAAAGGTTTGTGTCTCATTGTAGCTGTGCCCTCTTGCTCGACTTATTATGCCCCATTCACATTTTCTAAACTAGTTTAACTAAATCAGGTTTAGGTTTTTGCGATTTGTCGATTACGCCTTGCAGTCATTTTGAGAATATAAATTTCAAACCACCTTGCTACCATATTACAATCAAACAGGTTTTTACTTTGTTTATATGTTTTGGGGGTGTGTACAGTATAAATCACTTTTGTTGGTGTGAACGGGGTATCAATTCTCTGTTTTACATGCCGTCGATCTGCTGTAAGCTTATAAGCTTAATTTATTGATTTAAGATTAGCAATAGCCTGTGAACAAATTCTCTTCCTCTCCTACCCCTATCGTCTGCCTGCCTTACTAATATACGGAGGCCAGGATATTATAGGTGAATTTCCTAACTATAACATGTTTGTGCCACTTGTTGGTATAGGAATTCTTCATGTATGTGTACATCTGTAAATATCTGCCTAATCCCTAGGCCTCATTATTTTGCCATGGTCAACTGAGTTTAGGTCTTCTTGCAATTTACTGTATAGTATTTAGCAGCTTGTGTGTAACAGGCACTGATAGGATGCTTCTCACTCAGACTCAACATTCCAAAATTTTCAAAGTACTGCAATGAAATGTGTCCTGCTTACGCTAATACTCCACCAGCAATGGCCAAGATGTTATCAAATGCTTTTGTGTCTGAATTCTATGGTGAAATTTTAAAGATGCCATGCCAGATCAATCTAAACCATCTGACTAGTGTGACTGAATTGTTTATGTTTCTTCATGTGCAGACCCCAAGAGAGACCTTGATAGGTTAAAACAGGGCATTTTATCCTTAACAACCTCATTGAATAAGACAACTAGAATGCATGGACCTGCCCTTTCCACATGTGTGTCTCCCTAGTACCATTAATAAAAACATTATAGATAAAGTGTTTCAATCAAGAATAACAAGCAATTTTGTTTTATTAATTTCATGAATCATCTATCTTCTATCTATCTATTCTGTTTCTGAGAACTAATGGATGACTCCAGAAAGTATCTATACTCATACCATGGGCAGCATCTTGAAATTACGAGAGAGAGAGGGAGGGAGGGAGGGAGGGAGGGAGTGAGTGAGTTTCTTGGACTGGAATTCTGAAGGCATGAAGGATAACGCAGAGAGGGAAGGGGGAAGACAGAAGGGGAAGACGATGAAAGCTTCGCTTGACATTAAATCACTGATCAGATAACTTTTCCAGTTTGTAAATCAAGCATGAACTGACTGCAGAAGCAAGATAAAGATTGATGGAAAGATGGAATTTAGAGGGCATCAGGGGTAGAGCATTTTGGAATTTCTGAAGGTAGTGTGGGAGGGGGGTCAAAATGTTCATGCTGCCCATGGTAGGGTATGGATATTTTTTGGAATCACCCAATTTGTAGTTAGCAAAATGGGGAGTATTTTCTTTATAGAGTATTTTCTCTTGTGTCCTGAATAAATGCTGGGTCTGACCTTGGAAGATCTGTAAATAAGAACCTCAAAGAATTTCTAATCAAGGAAAGTAAACTTTAGGTGAAATTATAATATATCTAGCTCTGAAAAATAACTAATAAAAACAAATAAACTCCAGGATCAACTTTGTGGGAGGTGTGGTGGGTTCATGGTAGTGCGCTCATCTCAGGATCAAGCGGTCTGGGTTGGAGTCCTGGCCAGGGTCATTGTGTTGTGTTCTTGGGCAAGACACTTTACTCTCACAGTGCCTCTTTCCACCCAGGTGTAGGTACCAGTGACCTTAATGCTGGGGGTAACCCTGTGATGGAGTGCATCCCATCCAGGGGGAGCAGAAATACTCCCAGTCGCTTCATGCTACAGAAACCAGGATAAGCTCTGGCCTGATGGGCCACTTGGCTTGTATGCAGACTATCAAATCAACTGCACAATTCAAATAAATGCTGGATCGATAGGGCTTGAAAGAATCTGAAAGTGACTTGTCCCAAGGGCAAGCTGGAATTCGAGCCCTGTTCCTTGAAGCCAAGGTTAAAATAAACACCAGGGGTGTTAAATTGAGAAAATGCAGTATGAATCACCACGTAATTCTCATGATTCAGAGAACATAGGATGAGGTGAAGTCTGCTAAATTCTGAAGTACTGTTAAAGCTCTTTAATCTTTAAATAGATATTTATTAATAATTAATATTCATTGTTTTCATTTGTTAGAATATGATGCAGTTTGTGATGGCATTACAGGTAGGATCCTGTGGCATCTTTTGGTTATTTCCTGTCAAGAAACAAAAACGTTTTCAAACATATATTTCTGAGCACCTGTTGAATAAGAAATGCCTCATTGACTTCAGTTAACATGACAGGCCAAATTAATTCCCACTAATGACTTCTATTAACAATAACTTTTACTTTCCAGATAAAATAAACTTTACTTTGTTTTCCTGATAGGTGAAGCAATGCACCAACCTTTATACACACTTGTGTTTATGTGGTTATTAACTAAAGTATTTTTATTCATGGTCTAAAATAAGAAAAGGTTGGTTACCTTTAAAGATGATCTGACAATTACAAGTAGATACATGCACAACACAATTTAAGTCTGTGTGTGGATCAAAGTTGATTTGAAACATACAATCATGTGTTTCCTTCAGTTAATTAATTTACTATGCACATCATGAAAAATTGTCATTAATAGAAACCAAAAGACTGAAAGAAAGTGCCATATTTCTCTTTCAGGGAATACATGTAAGTGTAAACATATTAATACTGTAGGTTTAAAGTCCTGGTTACTTTTTAGTTGATAGCGATTGATGTTCAAATGAAAGATACATTTTTTTCCTTCACAGTGCAAGAGAAACTAAAGCTGACAAGCTTAGAAAATGAAGACAAAGTACAACTGGAGGAAATCTCAGATATATTTGGAATAAGTGACAGTGCAGTGACAGAGCTAAGAAAAGAGAACAAGGAAATGAAGAAAGGAAATGATCTTCCATTAAGGAAGGAGGAATGGCCCATACAGTCACAACATCCTGTTGAAATGCAGAATGGTGATGGTGATGAGGAAGAGGAAGTTAAACCAACTTCACATATGGACAATGTTGAGAGCATGGAAATAACAGTTGAGGACACTGCTCAACCAAACAGTAGTGAGAGTGCTGTGGAGGCAGAAGATCATCAGCTAGAATCCAAGACTACAGAGCATGCATTGGCCAGTGTGGAAACGCTCTCTACAACAAATGAAAAGGAGCCTGTTGAGGATACAGTCCCTGATTGTAATGAGCTGGAGGATTTAAACACAGCGAAAAACCAAATCAAACACAGTATGACAGAAGCAACCACAGGTGCTACAAGCTCACCTCAGCTGGGGGATGACGCTGTGACTGATGGTGAGGAAAATGACAAAGGAGTTATGGCAGATTCCAAGAAGGGTGAAATCAAACCTACAAGTGGCAAAGGTACTGAAACAGTTTTTAATAACATATTTTATGATGTAAGAGGGCAATTGCACATCCATTGTTAAATAGTACAGTGTACATGTAGTACTGTTATGAATTATAGTTAGCAGACATAACTGCACCCATATTCCTGAGCTCAAGCAGAATCTTTTCCTTTACAAAACTACATTGCACATGTAGGAACTGACGCTACTGGTATCTAATGCAACTTTGCTGTTTTTGTTTTTAATGTTAACAAAATGCTAATAAGTATTCACTTTGTGTACAAATGTGATAGATTCACTTTTAATTAATTTTAGAAAAGAAATACTATGTTGCAAATGTCATTCTTTGCCAGTGTCCTTCATGTAACATGTAGATACAGCTGAGGAGTGGATCTATTTCTTTTGGCTTATTACTTGAATGTGTTGTTTTGTTTCAGCCAAACACCAGGGTCCACAACATCCACATGGTCCTGGGGCACGACCAAAAGAGCCTCTTTTCAAGAAAGCTAAAACTGCGGACCCTTCAGCAGCTGGCAAACAAATGGCCACAGAGCAAGCTGATGAAGGTATGGACTTCGTATTGTTAGTAATTCAGCCTTGTTAATCAGTAAACTTTACTCTTGACTTATAAGTTACAATGTAGTTTAAAGGAATTAAAAGTAGTTTATCTTGTGAGCACCTTGTCACCCATAGAGGGATTAGGTGAGATTGCATTGCGCCTGCGTGAACTCAGTACATTTTTGCCTTGGTGAACAGATTGTCTTTTCTGTCCTATAAAAACTTGGTTTGCACCACACACAATGCCGCCTGTTTCGCCTACTAAAACATCAAAAGAAATTCATGAGGGGGTGCACCCGGTATCAGGAGAGAAACCTCCTGAGAAAAAAGTGATAATTGACTCCCGCCAAAAAGATGATATTCTGATATTCCACCAGAAGACTGGATAAGGCATTTTCAAAACCTTTTATTTGACGCAGAAGAAACTCAAGAATCACACACAGTTGTGAATCCCCCAAACAATCTTGACGAAACTACGCTGTCAGGTGAAATTTTAAATGGGCTGATCAGCGTGAAAGAAATTCGTGATCAAATTTCTAAACTCAAAAATAAAAAAGCACCTGTTACGGACACTTCTAAATGAAATGATCAAACACGGACGGTATCATCTCATACCTTCTCTTGAAAAAATATTCAATGACATCATTGAAACCGGCACCGACCATAGGTGTCATAAAACCAATATACAAAAAGAAAGGTGACAAGAAATGCCCAGCCAATTACAGAGGAATCACTTTAACCAGCTACTTAGGAAAACTGTTCTCATCAATTTTACAAAACCGATTAAATAAGTTTATTGAGCAACGCAATATTTTAAATCCAGAACAGTTTGGGTTCAGACCAAATGCTAGAACCGCGGATAGTTTATTCTTCGCAAACTACTCCATAAATACACCAAATAACACAAAAAGCTTTATGTTAGTTTCATTGATTACGAAAAAGCTTTTGATAGTGTATGGCAATGCGGTATGATCCATAAATTACACAAATACGGAATTCAAGGAAAATTCTTGAATGTCATAAAGTCCATGTATTCCTCAATGGACTGTTTTCGATATATTAAAATTCAGCTTGGCAGTGAGGCTTGGAGGATGCAAACAAAGGAAACTGAATCAGCATGTTTATTCATTTCATTTGTTTGTGTCCTCTAGGCCTCGCTATCAAGCTGAATTTTAATATGTCGAAAGTAGCCTATTAAGAGTTGTGTTAAACTTGACCAGAACACACTTACAGACCTATTTTCATGTAACAAGAGGATAAGGCAAGGTGATGATTTAAGTCCAGCTTTATTTTCTGTAGTTATGAATGATTTACAGCAATATTTTAAACACGACAAATGCCCAGACGTGGTGTTAGGAAATCGATCTCTAAACTGCTTAATGTATGCAGATGAGTTGCTAGTAATCAGCCCTTCTCCAGAGGGGCTGCAACAATCGCTTGATGTAATTCATAAACATGCTCAAGATGTCAGTGCTCGCGTTACTGACGCCATCTTGAAACCAGCTAGCCTGCACCGTTTACAAGCTCGTCGGCGATTGGTTGATGCTAGGTTGCGGTGGTCGCGGTGGTTAATCAATAACCATGCGTCAAGTCGACACCTTGTGAGACTCGAATGTTGTTTATCAATTGTCGATCGAGTACTTCCATATTCACCACATTTTTCAGCAGCTTCAAGGTTTGTTTGAGCCAGTTCAAAGTTTATATCGCTGGTTGGAGGTTCCGTGTGCGAAGTTTAGTTTGGTTTGTGTTCGTGTTTGAATCATTCGCTTTGTTACTGGTGTAAAAGGCACGCGGAGGTTTGTTTGGTTTGGGTTCCGTAGGGTTGTAGGTCGCCTTGAATTATTTGCTTTGTTACTCGTGTTAAAGGCACGTGGAGGCTTGTTTGGTTTGGGTTCCGTTGGTTTGTTGGTCGCCTTGAATTATTTGCTTTGTTCCTCGTGTTAAAGGCACGTGGAGGTTTGTTTGGTTTGGTTGAGTGGTTTGGTTGAGTGGCAATGAGTAACAGGGGTCGTTAAAATTTTCCTTGATGCAGTTAAGCTTACTCAAACTGTTCGAAACCGCCTTCCTGTTCGAGATATGGCTACGATCTTGGAGGCAAGTTTCCAAAGAAAGCCAAATCCAACAACGTGCTGATAGTGGAAATATGTCATGGTTTCATTTCCTTCGGACAACTGGCAGAGATGACCGGTGTTTCGTCACAAACCGAGACGAAATTTGGATTTGCACCAGAGAGGACTGCAAGCTGTCGCGATCCATTCACGTAAATGAAAGACGATACAGTCAAACCTGTATATACCAGTCACCCTTGGGAAAAGGCCAGGTGACCGCTGTACACAGGTTTCCTTTCAACTCCCCTGGAAGTCAGTAAATGGATTTTTTATGTGGAAGTAATCACTCAATTTACGTTTTATTGACAACTTGATAATGAGTAACAGCAACGAAATAAACACGATAAAAAAGGCCCGCAAAATGTCCGTGGTGTACTTTAAGGGAGGTGCAGTATACTTGGAATTACGTTTCCTTGTATTTATTGCAATTTAATGGCAGATTTACAGAACAACAAACAAAAAAAAAATAAGCCATAAGGATAATTTGTAAAAGAGTTGCGTGACCCCATATAAAAACAAATCACCTCATAAAATTATAAGGAAAAGCTTTTAACGTAA